CCTTCCCATCCTCCCCCTGTCCCCCCACCCAATCCTCCCCACTCCTGCTCTCCTCCCCCCCACCCAAAAAAAAGACCAAAGTCTCTTCCAGCTTTTTGGTGGTTAATGGCAGACAAGAATCTTACCAACTTTCTTGCCCAGGCTGGCTTCAAACCAAGATCCTCAATCTCAACTCCCTGAGTAGCTAGGATTACAGGTGTGGGCCACAGGCACCCAACCCTGTTTTAATTCTTCAGTCTAGTGGCAAATGCAGCTCTCCAGGATTGCCCAAATAATCTTCATGTAATTTCACCTAAGTTACAGCAGGATCTAGGTGATAGATTGTCACAGAATCACCATTTATCATGCCTATTGCTCTTCTGAATATGTTATTTACCTTTCCCTGTATAAGAAATTGCAGAGGAAATTATGTAATCACTTAATCACAATAAAAAAAAAAGAACCTCTGGGAAGGGAGGGAGGGAGGGGATGGTAGGGGGAAAACAATGGAGGGGGTAACAATGTTCAAGAGGAAGTGTACTCATTACCTCACTCATGTAACTGTAACCCTCTGTATAGTATCTTTACAATAAAAAGAAATTGCCGAGGGCTGGGAATGTGGCTTAGTGGTAGAGTACTTGTGTAGCATGCATGAAGCCCTGGGTTTGATTCCTCAGTACCATGTAAACAGGAGAAAAGAAAAGGCGGAAGTGGTGCTGTGGCTCAAGTGGTAGAGTGCTAGCCTTGAGCAAAAAAACAAGCTCATGGACACCCAGACCTTGAGTTCAAGCCCCAGGACTGGCAAAAAAAAAAGAAAAAACTAACTCTCCCAGATTGCAAGTGAATATTATCCTCACACAACAGAACTGACTAATGTATTTGTCTCATAGTGAATCACCCAGGATCCTTGTTTTTGTCCATTCTGTATGCTAACAGAAATCCTAATACAAATGCAGATTCATTGTGCAATGAGATATAAGATATTAGATTCTGGGGCTGGGAAGGTTCAGTGGTAGAGTGCTTGCCTTGCATGCATGAGGCCCTGGGTTCGATTCCTCAGCACCACATAAGCAAAAAGAAAAAAAGCCAGAAGGGCCCTGTGGCTCTAGTGTTAGAGCGCTAGCCTTGAGCTGAAGAGCTGAGGGACAGCTCCCAGGCCCAGAGTTCAGGCCCCATGACCGGAACCCCCCCAAAAAAGATAATTAGATTCTACATAATTTTTTTTTTCGGTCATGCGGCCTGAACTCTGGGCCTGGGCACTGTCCCTGAGCAGTTCATCTCAAGGCTAGAGCTCTACCACTTGAGCTACTGCGCCACATCTGGCTTTTCTCTTTCTCTCCCTCTCCTCTCCCTCTCTCCTCTCTCTTTCTCTTCTCTCTCTCTCCTCTCTCTTTCTCTCATCTCTCCCCTCTCTCTCCTCTCTCCTCTCCTCTCTCTCTCTCTCTCTCTCTCTCTCTCTCTCGACAGTGCCCCAGCCCTGAAGAAAAGATCACAGAATGTAATTTTCTTGTTAATATTCCACGTTGCAGAAGTGATAGAAAATGTGGATGTACTAATTAGGTTTTTTGTAGGGCTTGGAGAATACCTACCTACTCACCATCTTAACTCATTAAATAATGTAATCAGATTATCAGTGATAACTTGTTTATTCAGCTACAAAATAAAACAAGTAAGAAATATCTCCCACAAAGACACAGTTACATAGTTTGAAAGAGCAGATTTTAATCCAGCTTAAAATGATGTTTGTTGAAAATCGTGTCAGTTTTTCCTCTTAAAAGCTGACAACATAAATTTTCCTTCAAATATTTAAGGATCTTTAATCAAGTGATTTAGCCAGTAGTGCTTATGAATTGTTCTAGATGCTTTATACAGCTATCTTCCCTCTCAATCTCCCGGTTAACAATAATTTCAAATGTCAAAAACAGACTTCAGAAACAGTTAGAATAAATTAGAATAAATATAAAAGTTGATAAATTTTAATAAATACCAGTGTTCCCGCTACTGCTATTTTGCTCATAAATAAGCTAGAGCTCTATTATCAAAGGATGCCAATTATTCTATACTGCCAAAAATAGAATGAAAGGCTTCAGATAACAATAGCTACATTTAGCAAAGAAACCCTTTTCCAATTTATGGGTTGTTTTTTTTTTTAACTTTCTAGATACTAGAAAAGGAGATGTGCCCTGACCTTGTTGCCCCTTTTTCCCAGGACTTCTCTCAAAATGGCAGAATTTTAACTTTCAAGCAGAGATGTTGGCAGCTCCCCGCCAGTAGAAAGTTGTATAATTCTCTTACCAATTGAAATAGATAACAACAATGTTAACTTTATCTTAATAATTATTGTTCATGTCCAGTGCTATCATTTTAATTAATTAAATAAAAGTCCTAAATTATCATCTTACAGTGCCATGAATCACCTATCAGTTATGGAATGAATTCCTTAAGAATTGATTTAGGTTTGTGCTTAGGAAAGTTGTTCAATTTTCTGGTAGCTTTTTTTTTGGTAACAGTTTCTAAATAAAGGACATAGGTCTCCAATAGTTCTTCCTTTTAATAAGATAGGAGATTTAGTTAAACCATTAGATTAATTTAACAGAACTTCTCCAATACAAAATTGTAACCTATTAAAATGGATTTTTTTCCTTTTAGGAGTAGGACTTTAAACAAGTACAGACTGAAGTCTTCATGGTATTTGTGATTCTTTATTCTGACTGGTGCTGATAGAATAAATAAACTCAGTTTGTCATATATTTATCTGTAGAGAATACACTATAAAATATCTTCTGTTGGGAGTTGTTTGTGTGATGTAGCCCTGGACCACCTTAGCAGAGGGGCAGAAGGTTGCTGGCACCCTGCTATAACCTCCTAATCCACAAACTGCCTATGGGGAATGTGGTTCTTGAGCCCATAAGGTAATGGTTTCTAGTCCTGCATATCCCTCCCTCCTGTATGAGCCATTCAGATTTTTTAAATGTTTTTAGGTGGACATGTAAGGGCTCAGAAGAAAGTTAATAAGTTCCTTGGGAATTTTTTGTTTGGTTGGTTGGTTGGTTGTTTTGTCTGTTGTGGGGCTTGAACTCTAGGCTTGGGTGCTGTCCCTCAGCTCTTCAGCTTAAGGTGAGCACTCTACCGCTTGAGCCACAGCACCACTTCTGGTTTTCTGGTGGTTAATTAGAGATAAGAGTCTCACAGACTTTTCTGCCCAGATTGGCTTTGAACTGTAATCCTCAGATCTCAGCCTCCTGAGTAGCTAAGATTACAGGTGTGAGCCACATGCACCTGGCCCCTAGGGAGTTTTAATCTTCATTTCACAGCTGACCAGTGAGTGAAGTTGTAAATCTTGATCTAAGAGCATCTCCATATTCTTGGTGCTAAAACTTTTATCAGAGTCCTAATGTCTTACTCTTACACTCTGCCACCCTTCCATTGTTGCTAGATGGTGATCCTCAACAGATTCACAGGCTTCTCACAGGGAGTTCCTGGTGCTTAGGCAGGCCAGTCAGAAGGGTAGTCCAGCCCTAACACCGGGCCTCAGCAGCAGGTCTGGACTCCAGGTGCTTGCGCAGGTGCTTCGCAAACTCCATCTGGGTCTGTGATAAGACCTGATTGATGATAGTCTTTGGCAGCCACCCCTAGAGTAGAAGATAAGAGCATTTTGCCATTTTGTGGGTACTGTTCTACACCTTTGCAGCCAGTCACAAACATTTACAGGTGCAACCTTGGAGTTGTCACACCACAGTCACAGACAGTACCGCTTTGCTGTTCTGCTTCTGTGATAGTGTCAAAAGCATAGAATTTGCTGTCAAGGTAGAATCCAGCCCTGTTTTCCAAGCTAGAGGACTCTGAGGAACTTACATGACCTTTCTCACACTTAAGAGTCCTGGGCTTAACGTTGCCTTCTTCTAAATCATAGTTGTAGACTAAAATAACTGCTTTTTGGTTTTTGGGTTTTTTTTCTTTTTCTTTTGGAGACTGGGTCTCCGACTGTGGCTCAAGTTTGCTCAGCTCTTACTCTTGCTTCTCCTGTCTGAGTACTGGGGTTACAGAACCAGCAATAGCTCCTTGACTTTTTAGAACTGAAATTCGATAGAAGAGGTAAAAGCAAGCCATTGTAGGCTTCCAAGATGGTGGATGGCACTTTGACCATATTCCACTTCCTTGCCTGTTCCAACAACGTGTGATTCTATCAAAATAGAAAGGCCAGGTAGCTCACACCTGTAGCCATAGCTACTCAGGAAGCTGAGATCTGAGGATTGATGTTCAAAGCTAAACTGGGCAGAAAAATCCTTGAGGCTGTCTCCAGTTAACTAGCAAAAGGGCTGAACCGCAGGTGTGGCTCGAGTAGTAGAGTACCAGCTGTGTGAGAAATAATCAATTGGGAGCTTGAGGCCCTGAGTACCAGAAACTGGCAGAAGGAAGGGAATTCTTCATGTTCTATTCAGAATAAGGAAGAGCCTGTTTCACTACCACCTCTCCCCAAAGCCATTTCCCATGTTTCTCACCTTGAGGTCAATACTGAGCAGCCAAGTAAGTTTGGTCTTTGAAGGACTTCCAGCTAGTGGGTGAAGCACCATGCAGGTGGGACCATGCTCAGCTCTGGCAAAGGAAGAGAAGTCATCAGGAAAACAAATCGGAGTTCTTACCCTGACAAATTATACTAACTACATTTCTTGAGTACCTTGTCTATTTAATTTCATCTGATTGTCTATTTAATTTCATCTGATACCCTTTACCAAAAGTAATAGTAGTTGGCATGAACAAAGGTTGGAAGTAACTGAAGGCCCTTTGGTTGATAACTGGAGAGATAGGAATAGGGAACTTAGCAAACTCAGACGGCTTCAGTGTCCTAAGGGGTATGGGTTTTTTTTTTTCTTCCTTTTGTGCCAGTACTGAAGCTTGAACTTGGCCTTGTACGATTAGATTTATTTTTGAAGGCTGGAGCTCTACCACTTGAGCCAGACCTCCAGTCCCAGCTTTTGTGCTGGTTAATTGGAGATAAAGAGGCTTAGGTTGTTTGTTTTTTCTGCCTGAGCTAGCTTTGAACCATGACCCTTACTTTGATCATTAGGATTAGCTAGGATTATAGGTATGAGCCATGGTGCTCAGCTGTTTCAATATTTTAATTATCAGTATTGCTGTATCTAGAGTACCAGCTGGACTTCAGCCTGCCTTTTGCTTTGGAAAATTATGATGGTCCTGAACTTAAAGGGTTAGAACAAACTAGTTAGCTGATGAAATGGAACCATTGTGGTCTTTCTTACTTAGGAAGATGGCTTTTTTTGTAAAAGGAAACTGAGGGTAGGCTAGTTTCTTGGAGCTGGGTTTCAGACCACAGCGAGAGTACATATACATTAGTCTGTGTTAGGAGAAGGGAGTTTGGAGGCTGCTGTAATTACCTGATGACACCTTTCTGCTCAGGCATCTCTCCAAATTGTGTGGCCATGCCTGCCAGCACACAGGTGGAGCCTCGGCGCTTGGCACAGCGCACACTCACAAAATCACGGGGCCCCACCAGGTTTCCTGCAGCTTCTGCAGCCAGCTCATGGGTGATAACTGTGTCTTTTCCAATCCTCTGCAGGACCTAGAAAATCACAGGGAGCTAGTCACAGCCAGTGCTGGGGCTGAGCACCACCCACAGCATGGAGACTCTTGGACCTGCCGGCCTTTCAGACTGGTCTTTCTCATGGTCCCTGCTACTTATACCTGAGCTTTTCTCACCTTGATCTCCTTGACATTAGGGTTCCACTCTCCCATTGCCTCCATGCGTTCTACCAGTTCTTCATAGAGCCTGTCCAAGGGCTGGTCCACCACCACCTCCAACCGGAACACTTTGCCTACATCTGGGATCATCTTACTCAGTACTTTGTCCCCATTTTCCTGCAGGGAGAGAAAGGAATCCCCAGGGTGAAGGTTAGAGAAAAATATTCCTAGTCAGGTCTCAGACATTACCAGCCAATATAGAAGGGGACCAGTGAATGGAAGTCCAGAGCTACTTGTGAAGGCTTACTATTGTCCCAACACCCAGGAGGCTGAAGCAGCAGGACCATGAATTCGAGGATAGCTTGGGCTACATGGACTCTCTTGAGCCCCCCCCCCAAAAAAAATTAAGCTGAATATGGGGGCACCTGGATCTCTGTCTGGTTAGGATCTTATGTAGGAAGTCACTGCTACACCAAGCCTCACACATCTGGCTGGAGACTCACCTGCTCCAGCCTCCATCCCACCTCTTTTTTTCTTGGTGAAATACTGGTGGTGTAAATAGGTCCAACTGAAAAGCCCTACACATGACTTCAGAAGATCCTGAAAGAGACCAGAAAAATCTGGTCTCCAGTTAATTTGTATATATAGAATGTTGATCTTCAATGATTTTTTTGGCGGGGGAGGGGGGGGAAGGGGAGACACGGAGGCAGACTATAGGCTCATACCTATAGTCCTAGCTACCCGGGAGACTGAAATCTGAGAATTGCAGTTCAAAGCTAACATTGCAGGCAAGTCTATGAGACTTATCTCCAATTAAATCACAGAAAAAGCTGGATGTGACACTAGTTCAATTGGTAGAGTGCTAGCCTTGAGCAGAAGGAGCTCAGGGCCAGTGTCTAGACACAGGTTTCAAGCCTCAGGACAGGCCAGGAAAAAAAAAAAAAAAGTGGAAGTGGAGCTGGGGCTCACATGGTAGAGCACTAATTATATGGGAAAAAAGCTCCAGGACAGCACTCATGATGTGAATTCAAGCCCCAGGACTGGAACAGCAACAGTGATTGTATTTTGTTACTTAAATATACTGTTCCACAGCAGAAGAATGTGGGGCCAGAGATAAATCAAGGACTTCTAGATGAAAGCAGTGCTGAGCCTAGATCCCAGTTTCTTAACTCCTAAATATTATCTCTGTAACTGAGAACTTGAGCAAGAAGGTGTTTCATCTGAACTAGAGGTAATAACAGCACAGGACCTTTTGCTGAAGATAAGGCTACCAAAGTCCCCAATAATAGACCCACTTGCTAACCTGAGTCTTAATGCTTGATCCCAGTGAGGGTGAAGCACTGAAAGAGCCGAGGGCCCCAGGAAGCTGTGGGCTGCCTCTATTCTAGTCCATCCCTGCAAGCTTACACATGGCCTGGGCTACACAGGTGATACTATAGAAATGGTGAGAGCTTTTGTTAAACTGAGTCCACATTATATGGGCTCCATTAGCTAAGAAGATAGGGAAGACTAGGTGCCAGTGGCTCACAGCTGTAATTCTAGCTACTCAGGAGGCTGAGATTTGAGGATCATGGTTCAAAGCCAGTCCAGGCAGGAAAGTTTATAAAACTTTTACCTCCAGTAAACCACCAAAAAGCTAAAAGTTGAGCTGTGGCTCAAATGGTAGAATATTGAACAAAAAGCTCAGAGCAGCCAGGACCTGAGTCTAAGCCCCAGGAGTGGCATAAACACAAAATCTTATGGTGAAGAGAGATTGTTGGAGGTTTTGAGGCTTACCTTGCTGCCCAGAGACTAGTACATGAAGCAGGAGTCCCTGGAGCAGCCCTAGCTGGCCTTGAGGATGGCAGGGGATGGATCAGGAAGAGCAAGTTTCTCCACACACCCCTTACCTGCTGGTTCTCCTTCTTCCAGCCCTCCTGGTTGCTGAGGATGCCCAGGGCCTTCTGCATGGCCTCCTCTCCCTGCTGGATATAGGCCAGCTCCTGATCACTGTAGAGAGTCTCTTCCAGCCGAGAACCTGAATATATAGCCAATGAGAGACAGTGTCCTTCCTTTCCCTATGCTTCCACCCCTCTGATCTCTGGGTGTATTTGTTCCCCCCATGAAGAGCCAGAGCAAAGCTGTAGACAGTGGAGATGCAGGTTTGGCTTTGACAACTCTTAAGGTGGGAATATCCTCTTAAAAGTGGGAAGGGAAGGATAGGAGGGAGTCTGAGCCTCAATGTCATACACAAGAGATTCTGCAATGTCAGAAGCCTCATCACTCACCAAGTAGAGAGCTCCGCCGATGTCGAACCTGGTTAATCCATGCACCACTAGGGTCTCCCAGGGCTCTCCGGTTCAGCTCCTGACCAATGGCCAGCATAGCTTGGTGCCTCAACCCTGCAGAGAGGGAAGGAAATTCATATCATCTAGATGAGAGAAAGGACTTGCTTAGGAACTGATTCTGGGTAGGGATCTGAACTTGGGCCAGATAGGCAGTTTCTCAGTTCAGTACTTCTTATACTACAACACTTCCAGAGCTCAGGTAATTACCTCAGGGCAGGAGGGTCAGGCTTAGCCCTGCTCAGAGGCAAGGCTGTGCCATAGCTGCTGCAGTTTTAAGTCTATCAGAAAAGTCCTGCTGCGCTGCAGAAGAATACCAGATCTTCTCCTCTGAAGCTCAGACCTTTGCAGGAAAAAGCCACGTCTGAGTTTATAATCCTAGCTACTCAGAAGGCTGAGATTGAGGATCTCCATTTGAAGCCAACCCAGGCAGGGAAGTCTCTTAAGACGCCTATGTCCACTGAACTACCAAAAATGACAGAAGTTGGGCTGGGAATGTGGCTTAGTGGTAGAGTGCTTGCCTAGCAAGCACAAAGCCCTGGGTTTGATTGCTTAGTACCACATAAACAGATAAAAGCCAGAAAGGGTGCTGTAGGCTCAAGTGGTAGAATGCTAGCTTTGAGTAAAAGAAGCTCAGGACAGTGCCCAGGCCTTGAGTTCAAGCCCCAGAACTGACAAAAATGCCAGAAGTGGAGCTGTGGTTCAAATGGTAGAATGCTAGCCTTGAGCAAAAGAAGCTTGGGGCAGAGTCTAGGCCCAAAGTTCAAGCTCCAGGACTCTCTCTCTCTCTCTCTCTCTCTCTCTCTTGTGCCACAGAAGTAGCACAGAGTGGTTGCTTCTACTCTTCCTAGCTGTACATTGAAAATACTCCCCTGCCCACCAATTTTCACTTTTTGCATTGCTCTTCTGCTGACTCCCGTGCCTTTTTCTCCTCTTGCCCCTCTATCCTTCCAGTATCTCAGGATTGCCAACATTGCTTCTTGGACTCAAGGCTGGCCTCTACCTCTATTATTGTGGCCAAGACTTTTTTTTTAAATCAGGCCCTGAAGACAGGCAGGCAGAGGTAGTTTCATATGGATGTAAGGCAAGAGCTCTACCACTGAGCCAACTTCCCAGCCCAGTTTCATATGGATGTGTGTGTTTGTATGTGTAGTGTGAATATGTATGCCAGTTTTCAACCTGGGCACTATCCCTAAGCTTTTTTGCTTAAAGCTAGCACTCTGCCATTTGAACCCACAGCTCTACTTCCAGCTTTTTTTTTGGGGGGGTGGCAGAGAAGGAGTAGTTTATTGGCAAGAAGAGTCTCATGGACGGGGCTGAGAAGGTGGCTCAGTGGTAGAGTGCTTGCCTTGCATGCATGAGGCCCTGGGTTCAATTCCTCAGCACCACATAAGCTGGAAAAAAAAAAAGACAGAAGTGGTGCTATGGCTCAAGTGGTAGTGTGCTAGCCTTGAGCTGAAGAGCTGAGGGACAGCGCCCAGGCCCAGAGTTCAGGCCCCACGACTGGACCCAAAAAAAGAAAAAAAAAAAAAAAGAGTCTCATGGACTCAGGTAGTTTAAGCTCAATTAAAGCCCTAGAGTAGAGACTAGAAGTTATGGAATCTGAGCAGGACATATACAACTTAGTATCCAGTCCTGTTCTCCCAGAGGGAAGACAGATCCGGAGGGGAAGAGACTTGCTGAGGCTCCCACAGTAAGAAGCACACAACTGAGACCACAGTTTAATAGATCTGCCCCACTGTCCATGATATGCCCTGAGACTAGCCAGCACCAAGAATGCCTCCTGCATCCAGGGACCCACTCACCTTTCATGTTGCGCATATGTCTGTAGGAGCTCCCAGCACACAGCTTAAACGTTGCTAGAAGCATGTTCTCCTGGCCTATGCAGTGGTGGTGGTGGTACTGGTGGTGATTGTGCTGTGCCGCTGCTCTCAAGGGTGGCCTCTTTGTTCTTCCTGAGCCACTCAAGGTCCACCTGCAGCTGCTGCCTGGACCATGCACTCTGCACTTTAAATGCCTCCAGCTGAAGGCTGCGCATCATCACCAGGAGATAAAAAAGCCATCACTCACTGCACAGAGGCAGGGGTCAAGGCTAGAGTATTGCCTCATGCTGCTGTGTTGGCCATTTGTGGGGAGTGGGGGAGGAGCATTCGTAGAAGGGAAAGGCCTGTGCCAGGCACAGTAGATGGAGGAGAAAATCACAGAGACTGCTGAGCTGGGGAAACTTGATAAAGGGTAGATAGCACTTCTCTTTTTTTTTTTTAATTTTTTTTTGGGGGGGTCCAGTCGTGGGGCCTGAACTCTGGGCCTGGGCGCTGTCCCTCAGCTCTTCAGCTCAAGGCTAGCACTGTACCACTTGAGCCACAGCACCACTTCCGGCTTTTTCTTTTCTGCTTATGTGGTGCTGAGGAATTGAACCCATGGCCCCAAGCATGCAAGGCAAGCACTCTACCACTGAGCTACCTTCCCAGACCAGATAGCACTTCTCTAAGTTTTAAAATTCAGACTTTAAGGCTTGTTCTCAAGCTCCAGATAAAGCAGGTATGGCACTGAGGCTAAGCTACCAATTGCAAAGAAATGCCCAGCTGATTGCCATGGACCACCTACTGCCCCTTGAGGATCATTGCCCAGGAGAGTGAGCCAGAGCGATGCCTAGAGAAAGGAGTCAATGCCACTAAGGGCCTTCTGGACTCCTGTGCTTACGGATGGGAACCTTAACGTCCAGAAGATAGAAACAACTGGTGTTCAGGGTCACACAGATGGTAGTAAGCCTAAGGTCTAAGTCCTAAGGCCTTCAATTCATCTGAATTGAATTAGGTACCATTTGTGATTGACAACTTCCTTTACCAAGGCTCCATCCTGAATTAGTTCTTTTCTCTGGGGTTTGTGCTGGAGCAGATATAACCTCTGCTCCCAAAGCAGAGGGTATCCTTGACTTAGGCCACACTTCGTTCCTTTCCTCACAACTGAGGCTTTGTGAACTATGCTATGGGGCTTGGCATATATACAAAATTTCATCTCAGACTTCTCAGCTTGGGGGACCTTGTGGTACTAAGCAAGGACTCTTAGGCCTCCAACTTGCCTTTCTCAGTCCCAGACACACACACAGGCAGATCACACTGCTCTAACATTTTTTTTTTTTTTGGTTGGCCTGAGCACTGGTCCCGAGCACTGGTCCCTGAACACTTTTGCTCAAGGCTAGCCTTAAGGCTGTACCACTGTGGGCCACAGCACCACTTCCAGTTTTCTGGTGGTTACTTGGAATGAAGAGTCCATGGACTTTCCTGCCCAGGATGGCTTCAAACTGCAATCCTCAGATCTCAGCTTCTTGAGTAGCTAGGATTTCAGGCATGAGCTACCAGTACCTGGCTTTCCATTTCCTCTAAGAGTGTCCTTAAGGCTACTATTAAGCCAGATAGACTTGGCAAGAATAATGACAGTAGACAGACTCACAGCAGATTTGCTCCAATCTGGTCCTGTCTCATGTGTAAGTTCTGTGTCCCCCAAGACAGGAGAACTGGAAATAACATGAGTGGGCCTACCTTAAGCATCTCTATCAGATCCCTTCTTAGAAAACACAGGACAAGCAGAGCAAGTCCCATTGCTGTATTTCAACCCTGGTGAGGCAGTGTAAGGCTCCGTAAGCAGCAGGTGCCTGAAGGCACAAGTCTTTCCCAACAGTCCTGTTGCAGAGCCACCTCTGAGTACTTCAGGCTTCTGGAATGGCTTGTTCGTAGGCTGGCCACACACCCTTCCTATCAGAGCTGCTGGAGGTCAGGATCAGGATCCTTGTTTATGTGCTCTCTTGACTGTTCTGTGCTATTGCTATCTCCCAGGGCCAACCTGTCCCCTACTCCTGGTGCTCAGCTGTCAGGGACCAGAGTGGACTCTTGCTCTCTTTTGAGTGGCCACTTGGAAGAACCACTAGGGGGCACCACACCTTCTGCCTTAGGAATCATTCTGATTTGAAAGAAGGGGTGGGGCTGAGCGGGGGAGATGGTGGGAAGTGGGGGGTGGTTGTTGAGGGATAGGCAGTGCAGATAATGTTCAAGGTCCTGCTGTTGCCATCCTATGGGGAATTATGGCACTCTGATGAAGGAGGGGAAGTATGGGCTGATTGGCATACTGAGGCAAGTAGCTGTTACTGATGTCAGAGGCTGAATTGACTCAGACAGGGTGTGCTGAGTGACCTCCAGTGCCAAGGCTCTCTTCCTTTCTTCATTCCTCCAGTGATGAGTTAACTCTTGCTGTGCCTCTGAACAGGACGGCTGGAGTCAGGTGTGGAATGTGTGGTTTCTGAACATGGTTTAGATTCAGCTCTGCTTTTATTTCGGACTGGAAGGCAGGAAGGTGGGGGGTTCTGAAGTTTGAACTGAGGGACTGGGCTCTGTCCCTGAGTGTTTTGTGGGGTTTTTGTTGTTGTTACTGCTGTTTTTGCCGGTTGTGAGGTCTGATCTCGGCCTGGGCACTGCCCCTCAGCTCTTCAGCTCAAGGCTAACACTCTACCACTTGAGCCACAGCACCACTTCTGGCTTTTTCTGCTTATGTGGTGCTAAGGAATCAAACCCAGGGCAAGCACTCTACCACTGAGCCACCTTCACAGCCCCTATTTGTTTGGTTAAGGATAGCACTCTACCACTTAAGCCACAGTTCTACTTCTGGCTCTTTCACTAAGTCTCATGGACTTTCCTGCCCTGGCTGGCTTTGAACCACAATTCTCAGGCCTCCTGAGTAGCTAGGATTACACAATATGCCCCACTTTTAGCTCTGCTTTTTGATGAGGGCAGATTTGAAGAGAGTAGGAGAGGACCACTTCAGGTTAGGGGGAAAGAGGCAGAGCTTTAGAGCAGGAAAGGGAATCCACTCATTCATTCATTCATTCATTTATCAAACATATAGGAATATCCATGACGTAGCTCTATAGTTATGACTCCATGAATGGATCATACAACACAGCACAAACAGTTGTAGAGTTGTTGAAAGGCTCAGGAAATATAGAGGATAGCACACCTGATTCCAGGAAGAAGGGAAAGAGGGAGGGGTGAGGGAGAGTGTCACAGAAAGAAGGCCTCATTGAAGAATCAACTTTGGAATTTCACTTGGGAAGTATGATTAGGAGACTACTAGCTTTATGGCAGAAGATGATGTGTTTGGAGGATACAGGGAAGTGAGAGTATTCCAGGTAAAGTAAATGGCCAAGAGCAGGGAGAAAGGCCCTGAGCTTTGATGGCTAACTATCTTGGGCACTTGGATTGCTCAGTGTAGCTGTGGGTTTGGTGGGATGTTTGCAGGATGTGGTGGGAGAGATGGGCAGAGTTGAGAGTAGGAAGGGTGGAGTGGAGAGGCTTCTGGGCAGGTTCCAGTGAGGCAAATACTGGTGGAGGAGGAGAGCAACAGCACCCACCTCTCAGGTTTTCTGGCCTGCTTATGTAGGAAAGCCCGGGTTCTGTGTTCATCCCTCCAGGGATGAGTTCACCACTTCACAATTGGCAGTCACACGCTTGTTTGCTTGGATAGCAGGAATGTCTTTCATAAATTCTTCCAGAGTAGACTTGAGGTCCAAAGGAGCCCAACAGTGCATCAAGAGAAGCCTCAGCTTTTTGCTGAGGCTTTGTGTGTGTGAGAGAGAGGGGGGGGGGTTGGGGAGGGAAGGAGAGAGGGAGAGAGAGAGGGAGACTTTTACTCAGAGCCTCAATCTCTTCCTTGGCTTTTTTGCTGAAGGCTAGTGTTCTACCACTTGAACCATGGCTCCACTTCCAGCCTTTTTTTTTTTTTGGAGGTAAGAGTCTCATAGACGTTTCTACCTAGGGTGTCATTGAACTGTGATTCTCAGATCTCACCCTTCTGAATAGTTAGGATTATGGGTATGAACTAACAGCATGCAACAAGCTTCAGCTTGTTTAGAACAATGCCAAGGTCTTCTAAATTCTCACCCTGTTCTTTCTCTCCAGCAGCAATATGCACATACCTGAGGGGCCCCAGCCTGCATCAGGCCCACTTCCCAGGTAGCCAAATGATTATCATCCCTACGAGGCTTCTCCCTGTATCCCACCTTACCTATTTAGAATTCAAAACCTTTCTCCCTTCTTTCCTCCCTCTCTCACTCCCTCCATTATTTTTTCCATCTCTCTCTTCCTACAGGCTTACACTATGGAGTTCTAGCTAGCCAGCATCCTCCTGTTATAGCCTTCTGAACATGGTATAGGTGTGTATAATCACACAAGGCTTTGGTATATTTCCTTTTGGATTTCCTTAATGAATACTTATTACAGTAGCAATAAGACTAATGCTAATTCCCCTCAATTTGTATCTCCACAAACATGTAAAACTGTCATGTATTTTGTATGCATAACAAATCCTAGCTTTTATTTTATTTTTATTTTTGGGTCCGGTCATGGGGCCTGAACTCTGGGCCTGGGCACTGGCCCTCAACTCTTCAGCTCAAGGCTAGCACGCTACCACTTGAGCCATAGCACCACTTCCAGCTTTTTTTTCCCCTGCTTATGTGGTGCTGAGGAATCGAACCCAGGGCCTCATGCATGAAAGGCAAGCGCTGTACCACTGAGCCACATTCCCAGCCCAATCCTAACTTTTAAAAAGTAAAGTTATATACAGAACTATAAATCTATTAACATGAATTCAAAATGCATTGATGGATATGTAAGAAAATAATAAAGACGATTTACCACCTATTTCATACTCAGTGACAAATAAATCCAAACCAATTTGTCATAATTGACATTTATAGTAAACTTTACCAAACCACAAAAAGAATATACATCTTTTTTGTAGATTTACATGGATTATTTAACAAAATAAACTTTGTATGAAGACAAAATTTTATGTCTCCACAAGTTATAGGGCTGAAATTATACAAAGTATACTCTTTGAGAACAAGAAAAATAAATTATAAATAAGTATAACAAATAGCTAGTAAATATAAATCCACATGAATAATTTCTTAAGTTAAC